TTGTGATTACAAAGGATATATTCATATCAAGGTTCTAAGGTAAATGAAATAAATAATTTTCTATCCATAACTTACTGTAGTGCTTGAATTTATTACAAATACATATCCACAGTAAAAAGCTCTTAGTATTTATGTTTATATTAATGTATGTTTATAGATTTTCCCTTCTCCTTCCTCTCTACTGCTTTTAATTCCTTGGAAAAAATGAATATTAAATGAATTAAGTTTCAGTTTGGAATAAATATGACAAAAATAAAGCTTTTCTCTAAAATTCCAAAATCATGGGATAATTAAGTGTTAACGTTTATTTGGTTAGAAAAAAATGAAAGGGCAAATGTTCAAAGTGAAGTGCAGTAAATCCGCTGAACTTCCATTCATGCTAATGGGAGGCAGTTGGCCAAGTTCCCTGGACAGAGTTCCCTGGACAGTGCTTTGAACACACACCTAAAAGTTTTTTTTTTTTTAAAGTTTCGGAGCACATTAAAACACGGAATGTTTTTAGATTCTCCACTCCTTTTAAATACAACAAAGAAAAAAAATGTAAAGGCAGTCAATCTTTTTTTTTCTTCTTCTTTTTTAAAAAACAGACATGCAAGAAGGATATGGGAATTATTTGTTTCTCGTTGTAAAGCCCTTGAATATTGAACAGAGGCCTACAAAAACACCATAAAATTATATGTTGCCAGGTATTGTCATTGTAGTATCTATGAAATAGTTCAAAATAAGAATAGTTATCTTATTTAGGAAAAAAGTTAATATTTTTAATTCCAAAATCGAACCACAAATATGATTTTTCCTTTAATGAATCAGAGTGCAATTTTGATGGACTTCCCAGTTGACAAAAAAGTAATATGCGCTTTTAGATAATGTGCACATGGATTTATAGATTCCAAGTCATAGTTAAAAAATTACTGCCTATGTGAGAATATATTGGAGGGATGGAGGAACAGTGTGAGTTCAGCTTGACAGCAGTATAGTCAACCATTAGCTCAAATAACATTATTGTTTAATCAAATCTAGATGGCCTAGATCAAAGATGTGTTCTGCCAGGTTTTTCCTACAGCAATGAGATGATATGCAGTGTATGATATTCTGGTGTAGATGCTATGTATTGATAAGGGTAAAGGGTATTGATAACCTGAAACATATCCAGAATCACATGATCTGAATGATACAGTGTCTAGAAACTAAGGCATATGAGGAATGGTTAAAATCACTGGAGATGTTTACCTGGAGTAAAAAGACTTGGGGGTTGTATCATCATGCCTGATGACATTTTAAGATTTTTACATGTAAGAAAGATGATATTATTCTGCATCATTATAGGGCACATAAATGGAAGCCATAGGTAGAGGTAGAGGAATATAACAGCTTACTTTTACAGAACTCTCCAAAGAAATGGATTTTTTTTTTAAACAGGTGAGCTTCTTATTGCAAGAGGTAAATAAAATTGGTGTACAAAGAGTTTTTCATTTGGAAAGAAGTTGGACTCCAGTAGTCTTTCCTAATTTCAGTTGATTTTCAGAATTCCACGTGTGTATTTTATTACTATTATTTTAATACAGATCCCCTGAGCCATACTAAATGAATCAGAGTCTCAAAGGATATGTATCTGTGGTGGAGAATCAGTGTTTAATAATAAGAATAAAGAACTTCCCAGGTAAAGGCAGTTAGCAAGGTCTAGGAATGTAATTTTCATGATTACTGCTAAAATTATTGAGTATGGTGATTTGGGAGTTCATATTATGAAACAAAAATTTTGATATATTAACATAAATCATCCATAAAATTTTGATTATACCTGCAAGATGGATCAGTCCATATTTTTCAAGCACTTAATAAATTTGTGTTAAGGATTTACCATGTACTGTTGTTAGACCTGTGGATGACAAAACAGTTGTGAGAAATAATTGTGGGTTTTTCTTTCAGAGAGTAGACTATGAACCTCCACAAAGTAGGGATAATGATAAAGAAATAATTTCAACTCATAAAACTAGTCATTATTACAGCATTTCTAAGGCTTCCTAGGTTGAGATTCTACCTCCACCATCGGAACTATGAAATCTTGGGTGATCTTCTTCAGCTGTGTTCTATAGTATTACCATCCTCAAAAGGGGGTTAGCAAAAGAACACACTGTCTAGTATATTGAAACAATTAAAAGTGTTCATAATGTATTTAACATAATGCCTGACACATGGTAATTAAATGATAACCACTAGCTATAATGAACATGGTCTTGAGCATCATCATCAAATGTTTCAACACCCAGAGGGCAGGCTTCAGAGAAGTAAAATCACAATATACTGAGGATACTATCTTACATGATTTGCATCCAAACAAACTTACAATGTGAAAACCAACGATGTTTCTAAAGTCAAATAAAGATGTGTTGGAAATTTTAAAAAGGAAACATCAGCGATAGGGCTGGGGAGGAGGAAGAAACAGACATTTTGAAAACAAGATAGATCAGTAAAAATGTGTGAGGGTATCTCTACCTATGGGAATAAATGACAATCTTCAAAATATTTAGGATATCTTCACAAGCCTAATTAAAATATTGCTATCATATTTACTTTACCAGTCTGTTCTGTCCAGAAAAGCATGTCTATGTGTTAGAAATTATTTCATCAAAAGTAATGCATATAACATGCTTGATCATGTCCAGATAAGAAGTTTTGATCAAAATAAAATTTGCTTATTTTTGTATGTACTCTGCAGAATATTTTTCAATTTATGGGTACATTTATGTTAATTATGTTAGGGAGGCAATATTTTCTTAATTTATATTTATAGGTTACTTTCCTTGCCTTTACCTGTCTGATTTTAGCTTTTTCATCTAGTTCGTCAATATATTTCTGTGCATTTGGAATATGAATGAATTATTTTAATAAAAAATTCAAACAACACTGTATAAATCAAGCAATTCTTTAACAAACAAAATATAAATAATCTCTCTTTCATTATCTTGTCTTCCTTTTTTTTTTTTTTTTAAGTACGCAAGCAAAGTTCACTTTCATTTCTGAAAGCTCTTTTGTCAGACATGTGACTGTGGTTTTTGTGGAGTAGCACAATGTGTGATTGAATGTCAGAGGAAAAATCACCCAGATGAAGTTAGAAAAGGTAGTTTGACAGAGTAATGACATTAACAGCCCTCTTGTTGATTTGAGATACATAACTCAGCAATCACTGGTACCAATCATTATGTTTTGCCTAAAATGGAACACATATAGTAGAATGAGCCAGAATTAGAACATAGCCTGAGACAATTTAAGGATTAAAAAAATATGCAAATCATATGTGTGTGTGTGTGTATATTTAGATATAGATATGTAGATCTCTTTCTTTGTCTCTTTCTACATATGTATATATTTAACAAGTTTAAAGCAGCTTATACATATATTTATATAAAGAATTATTTTTAAGACAACACAGATATATAAGCACCTTGCCAATCACTGAAACCCCACCTAAAGGTTGAAATTACTTATTAAGGTTTTTCTCTTATATTTTGAACCTGGTTAATCAGTCCCTTCTTGAGTGACAGAGTACCTTTTTTACCAGTGTGATCTAGAAGATTTATTAATGTATTTTTTGCTGCTATTTGAAAATTAGTTGCCATAGAAAGTACAACTCAAGATGGGTATTGTAAGACTACACCAGATGTTATATGTAGGAGCCTGGAATCTCTATGTAAAAACAAATATAGGAAAACATATGTGTCCTACTCATTGATAATTCAACTCTTGCAATCATGATTTTAAAAGATAAGAAAGCCTGATGTGATTAGCATGTGTATTGCTGCTATGTTGTAGTCCAAATATATTATAATGTTGCTAAAAGCATTCAGTTTTATTTCATCTTCAAAGGGCTGCATCATAGTATTGCTATCCCATGCAACATTTTCTTTTTTACCTTCCTCAGCTCCTGCCATTTGTCATGATTTTCTCTGAGCTTCCCAGTAACGTATGCGGTTCCTGTTTTTGTTTGTTTAAATAGCTTGTATATTAAGATTGAGATACATCCCACTTAAAATTCATGTTATATAAGTTCTATATCACATTTATTTTACATACTAGTAACTTTAGATAAATTTGTACTTGTTAATTGCATTGAATTGTTTCCTGTAGAGATTTAATTGTATGAAATGTGAATATCTTGGGTGTCAATGATAATGCAGTTTTTACTATATAGGAGTACTATATAAAATAAGAGCAACTGCATTATACTCATCTGATATTTTTTCTAAATAATTGCATAGCTTTCTCTGTTATGATTCCATTATTTGGTAATGGCCCATGTTTTAGAATTCTAACTTTGTTTTACAGGTCACATGTCTGTTTTGAATTCATTAGATCATATATAATTCATACAAGAAATTTTAAAAATATGTATATTTACATATTTTGTAAGTTCCCAGATTCTCAGAGCTGTTTCTTCAAGACTATAGGATACCAAAAGCAGTGGGCGGGCAAACATGTTCCAGAATGAGTTTGATCAAAAATATCTTTACAGAGCAGGCTATTGTCAGCAATGGTTTCCAACAAAAACTGCCACGCCAGGAGTCCAAGTTAGAATTTTTTAAAAAAATGCCTTCATGTCATTTTGTTTAGAAAGACAAAAACTATCTTTAAACTTAAAACCAGATTTTAAACTACTTTTCTAAGCATATGAATTGGTCATGAGTTTTGACTCAATCTTCCAGATTCATTTTTAAAATCATGACTATGAAAATAATACTTTTTTTTTTAATAAGAGATAGATATGTTTGAGAGTGTGTTATGTGGCCAAGAATGTGGGATTTGTTGCTCTATTTCAGTATAACAAACTAGAAGGATCTCTCAAATAATTATTTTTTAGTCATTGTTGTATGTAATTACAGACCACCCAATAGGAGCAAACAATGAATAGTTAACCAAATTTAGTAAATACAACTTAACAAAAGTAAGAGAACAAAAGTGAGAACATGTAAATGTAATATTTGTTGTTTTATATATTCCAGATTCAGAACAATTTGTGGGCAGGAAATGCAAGTGGTGGTTCTGTGGTTACTTCATGCATGTTACCACGTGACACTTCCTCCTGTATGACACCTTATTCTCACTCGCCTCGGACAGATTCCAGTTACACGGGGTTTTCAAACCACCAGAACCAGTTCAGTCACGTGCCCCTCAACAATTTTTTCACTGACTCTCTTCTTACTGGGGCAACCAATGGACATGCATTTGAAACAAAGCCAGAGTTTGAAAGGAGGTCTTCCAGTATCGCAGTTCTTCGAATGAAAGCCAAGGAGCACACCGCCAATATTTCATGGGCCATGTAACATACAGTACTCTTTTATTTTTCTTTTAATAGCAAAGTTAAACATTCTTATTTCTTATATTTAAAGGATACCACAATAAGCTGCTGTGTGTGGAATTGCTAAAGGTCAAGATATTCAGTGAGACCAGCTTAAATGAATAGTTGTTATTTAACATTAAAATCTAAGAATGAACCTCTGAAAAGACTAAATAGGTTTACCATGTGCCAGTCTCCACAAACTCTGTTTTAGTCGTAAGATTTTCTTTTTCTATTGTACAGATCAATGAAATATGATTATGCAACTTATTAAAGAATAAATGTGTTAAACAAATTCTTCTGTTATAGATTGATTTATGTTACTTCTGTATAACAAGAAATCTCTTGTAAAATAATACCTGATAAAGAAGGAAATGCACTGGGGAAAATGTCAAGATGACAAAGCTGTCAGGTAAATATTGAACCAGGGTGTTTTGGGGAGTTAACTGCTCTCTCACTCTCTCTCTCTCTTTCTCTCTCCAAAAAGCAGTGTGCATAAACCCTGTTGCTGAGAATTTATTTTCAAGCCTCATTTTTATTTTTGTTTTTACCTTTTGATGTTTTAGTGAATTTCCACTCTGTTACACAAGAGATCTTTTAAAATAACCGACATTTGCATGAGATATTTGGGCATAGTTTCCTGAAGCCACATGGCTAAAGGTGAGAACTGAAGTATTCTGGTGTGATTGAAAATATAGTCATGGGAGCGGACTTTATAAATGTCATTTTTCCAGTGAAGAAGCCAGCATAGACTCACTTAATCATCACAAACAAGAAAAAATTTACAAACCTTGCTGTTGCTTTTAAACTAAGATTGTGTTGATTAAACTGTGCCTATAAACTGCTAATTAATACTACACTGAAAGTAACATTTTCTGTTAGAGAATCAGTGAGTTGGAATTTATATGTATTTTTGTGGGTATGTGCATGCTTACATGCATGTGTGTTTGTTTCTTGACGTATTATGCCTTAAGCATTTTTTGCTACTGTGGTTTTTGCATAGAGAATTAAAATGTCAGAAAGCTTTCTAAAATTTCTGGTGGAAAAGAAGAGAAGAAAAATACATTGCATCTGGAAAATTGCTAACCCCTTTGATTTACTTCTCCTCCCTTTACCCTGTCACATTCCAAGCTTTTTCAGATGAGTGAAATGTCAACCTCCATGAAAGATTCTTAAGTTCATAAAGGCAAAGTAAATTAATTGAAATGAAGATGACTTCCATGGCTCGGATTAGAGCCGAGTTCTTTGTACTCTGTTAGAATCTTCTTGTGGTTCCTGCAGACTTTAGGAATATGCTTGGGATCTGTAATGGCTAAAGGACAAGAATAAATGAATTTAAAAATTTTAAATCCAGTAAGTGTCTCTTCTCAGTGGGAAAATATTTATAGCAATTAAACATCTTTTGTAATAAAATTTTAAATAAAGCCAATGATAGAAATGAGTGATGTCCGAAACATTCCCTGACTTCATAATACTTTATTACTTTTGTGTTCTCTCTCTTTATTTTTGTTCCTAGAAGAAACTTGTTCAACTTCTGTTGTGAGAATTATGCTTTCATGCAAGAGATTTTGTTAAAAGACTATTTAGGCAGCTGTTAAATATCCTTCATGGTTTTAGAAGAGAATGACTTATTTTCATATATATTCATATATGTGATTAATAGGAATTTGTGAATTAAAACTTAAAACTAAAATGTAAGATTTTCTTTTCAAAAATTTCACAAATTAATAGTGTTCATTTTCATTTTCTTCTGCTTTAATTTAAATTTTAGTATCCCTTGGCTAGTTCCATATATTTTTCACATGAGAGACAGCAGTCATATAGTCAGGTTTGAATTTCATTTTCTTCCTTAGTTTTTCTACTCTTTTACTCCTTATACTTAATAATTAGGTAATAATTAGTTGGAGCTTCTATAACTATTTTTTTCAGTTGAAACATCTTTTTAATTAAGGTTTTACGTATACAATTATCTGTATAAATATAATTCACACATTTTAAAAACATAGTAGAAAAAGGACTATTTGCAATAATAAAATAAATAGTGGAATCATAGTTCTTGTTTCTTGTCCTTCATGAGTTCACAATCTGCCTGGACAAACACATGCCTGAAGTTCTTACCCTCAGCCATGCCTCAGATTGTATTATGGCAATAAGAATCTCATGAATTTTCCTGTGTTAACATTCCAACTTCCTTTTTTATACAGCGAATTTTTATTATGTATTCAAGTTGCCAAAAATTAAATAAAATGAACTTTTGATATAATAGGATAAAATAAAGCTAAAACAAAGTACATAAAATGAACTTCCTGAATTTCTCTTTCTCTTTCTGAATTTGTTTCATATACTAGAATTCATATTGATGTTATACACTTTTCTTAAAAGAAAAAACTAAGGAACATTTTATTTACTTTTATTTGGGCTCATTATTGATAGTATTATTAGGAGTTTTGGTATATTAAGTAATTTGAACCACATGGACATTTGTTCCCATGGCTATCTCATCCCCTATTTGCCCCTTCCATACATTTTCCTTGCACACATGGTTTAAAAGATGTTTCTTGTACTCTTTTTCTTGAGCAATGTGGTTAACCCTTGAACCTCAGGATAACAGATAAATTTATGGGAGAATTAGGTAAGGTTTCAGTTTCTTAAGGATAAAATGAAATTTAAGAAATGGTTTATAAATTTTTGAAGGTGTCTTATTTATTTTTATGAATATTAAATAGTAAGTATTTTCTTCTTATATAAGATCTTATGAAAGTAGAAAAATAAAGTCACTGCAGTCTTTGCTCTGAGTCCAGAGAACATATCTTAAAGGAATAACAGTTATGTAACCTATATAACCTTGAGGAAACTCATGAAATTGTGTGTATAAATTATGGGAATGTATTAGCTTCATCGTTTCATCTGACTGTTTATTTTGCCTTCAAGGGAGGGATAACAGGCAGACCATCGGACTTAACACAGTTCTTCCCAAGATGATATGCAATTGTTTTCTTTTTGTATCTTTACTTTCTTCTCTCAAATACCTTTGGACTTAATGCGGTTCTTCTCAAGACAATATGCCATTGTTTTCTCTTTGTATCTTTATTTTCTCATCTCAGACACCGGGTGCTTGTTGTGACTGCTATGGTATAATTCACACATCATCTCCATCTGTGTGTGTGTGTGTGTGTTTTGTTTTGTTTTGTTTTGTGGAGTTTTGCTCTTGTTGCCCAGGCTGGAGTGCAAGGGTGCGATCTCAGCTCACTGCAACCTCTGTCTCCCAGGTTCAAGCTATTCTCCTGTCTCAGCCTCTCGAGTAGCTGGGATTACAAGTGCCTGCCACCACGCCGGGCTAATTTTTTGTATTTTTTGTAGAGACAGGGTTTCACTATAGTGGCCAGGCTGGTCTCGAACTTCTGACCTCAGCCTCCCAAAGTGCTGGGATTACAGGTATGAGCCACCGTGCCCGGCCTCCATCTGTTTTATGTAATGCTGTTCTATATATAATACTATAGTTTTAGTTAACCAGCAACAAAAAAAATTCCTTGGATGAAATAAGAAGTGAAAAGATCAATTACAGTGTTTATGTAAGCTTTGAAAATTTTAATTTTCTAAATTTATCAGTGGTTCTTATTTCTGTCTTTCAACATTTAATTCAGATAGTATTCTATACAATAAGTAATTATGTTAGCTATATTGTGCATTAAAATATTTCTCACTTACACTACCAAATATTTTAGGAGAAAGATTAAAGGATCTTATTTTTAAAATTCCAGTTGGTGGTGACCTCTCTTCTCTCTAATTAGAATATAAAAATATATCTTTATTATTTAATGCATAATTGTTCTCTTTAACCTATTTCTACTTTAAGAAATTAGGCATTTAAAATTCCAACAGATATTATTTCCTTATAGGAATTCATATATTGCATTGACTAAGAAGTATGACTTTTTGCAAGAGAATCTACTTATTAAAGTGATACATTAAATAATATTTTAGTTCTTAGCCTCTAAATCCTATTATATATATTTTATATATGCCAGGTAGTTTTAAATAATTTCACTGGTGGTCAAATATGCAAATGAAGTCCTAAATGAAATGCCTAGCAGTACAGCCCCATTTATGGCCCAAAATCTCAAAAATAATTAAATGTGATATTTTATAGCACATAGTAAATGCTGAAAGAGGATTTTTTTTTCAATAATTCTCTTTATATAAGCATATTATCATTAATCTGGGAAATGTACTGCAAGATGGTGAACAATGCTTCAAGACAGGAACTAGCTAATTCTTCAATTTTACTGAATAAAATAGTAAAGAACTGAAAGAAGCCCTTTTAGTACCTTTTTATTCTTAGAATTGCATACCACTATGTGTTTTCCATGTCCAAGGGGCAAATCCATTATTTCACTTGAAAATTTCATCATGACCCTATTTTATAGTATACTTTTGATTTTTTTAAAAAAAGAAACATTATGTACTGAAGTTTTTTCATGTGTCTTCACATAGTGTATATTTGCAATATTTATTTTACCTGTTTACCTTGAGGTATATTTTAAAGGCTTAAGAGAATAATCCAGAACAATTGTTAGCATTGTCAAAACATGACAGCTTTTCAGTAGGAGGCAAAAGGAACCCCCTATGAGCTATTTACACGGAAAACAGGGGAGGATGCCTGTCTGGATATAATTTAGAGTTTCCATGAACTGAGATGGAAAACAATTAAATCTTTATTTTCACTAATATCTAGAATAAAACTTAGCATTTTCTTTCATTTAACATATAGACAATATATCTCAGTAGTATTAGCAACACCTATGAATTTGTCACCAATAGAAAGAGTGGATATTTTCATGTAGAGTTGTTGTAGATTCCTTGAAATAACTATAATTAAAATTCATAATTTGATTAAGGCAATTTTCAAACATGACTTCAACATTGACATAGTTTTTAGCTCTGTTTCTGGCTCTTGCTGATCTATCATAAAGATGCACAGATATCACTACATCGTAGAGTTAGTTTTGTAACTATTTGGATGCCTGTATTTGAACATACTTTGTTTCGCTGAGCCTATGCATTTTCTTTTACTTCAAATCATTTTCTAAGTAAGAATTCACAAACCTTACTGAATTGCCAAAAGGGTTCGTAGGACATTCTCTTTTGCCATTATTTTCACTCTGAATATGTTGAGTATTTTTAGGGTTTTCGTTCTTAACGTTTGGTCCTCTTCCTACTTCACTAAAAAATATTTCTAAGGTGTTTCTATGAATATTTTTCGACTTTTTAAAAATTTGAACCAGAAAACATATCCACAAGGGTAGCTCCTTTAAAAAGTTGCATAAAGCTTTAAATTAACAGAGCACTTTCATATTTATTTTCTCATTTGACTTTCATAATTTTGTGACAGTGGGTATAATTATCATCTCCCTTTCACATTATGAGGTAACTTAGGGACAAAGAGTATAAGGATCTCCTGTTAAAAGCCTCTCCTGATGCCTCCTTATTCTGCAGACTTTTTTTTTAAGCGATAAAGAAAAAAATAATTTAAATATGCATTTTAAAAGTATTTTATTTTATTCTGTGAAGTACTTAAATGAAATTATTTTAAAATAGGCTTTAATTTTTCCTTCTATTAAGTCAATGTTAGACTTCTTTCTCTTCATTTTTGAATTTTTAAATCCAGTTTTGCTCAATATACCAAACATTTACTGACAACCCACTTTGAGCCAAGACCTTAGAGAAACTAACATGCTGATTGGGGAGACCAGAGAGAGTCAAACAAATAATTACAGTATGACATGAAAGTGTCTCAAGCAAAATACTATTGGAAAACAGGTAAGAGATTAATTAATTTAATATTTTATAGGTCATGGAAGACTACAGAGAAGAGATGACATTTGAAACAGACCTTGAAAGATGAATGAATTATAGAAATGACATTTTATCTTTTTTATTTTAAATAGAACCCAAATAAGTTTAGAAAAGCTATGTTCATGCTAGTTAAAATGTTTGTAATCCTTTATTATTTATATCATTCCACAACTTTTCTCTAATTTTAAATATTTCATTTTTTTTTTTTATTATGTTTATTAACTGGACCAAAGTTCTCAAGCTCAACAAAAAATGATTTTTTTATTCAATAATGTTTTTCAAGTTTTCTGTAATACTATTAATTTAAACAAAATGTGCTGAGCTCATATTTTAATGTGCTGTGCTAGCCATGGAGGTTATGAATAAATCCAAGCCACAGACTTTGTTTTCAAGGAATATTCACTTTAGTTGGATGGGTGACATTTACTGAAACTTTCATAATATTAAAAAATAGCATGCATATATTAATAGATCTATCTATATATAAAATGTATAACAAAAAGTGGAAAAATTATAAGTGTACTTCAAAATGCACATCTGCAGAAAGCTGATAGTAAAGTTCCAAAAGAAGAAGGTTTCACCCTG